ACCAAATGGTTTGGGGAGAAACAAAACCCCTTTGACTTTTATAATTTGTAAGAAAATGAGACGTAAGGTCTCTCATAAAAATAACATTTTTTCCATTGTACCGATATTTCACGATTTCTCTCTTTTATTGTTAGAATCAAATTCTGAATGTGTTTGGTGGAAAATCAGCCTTTGTTATGAAGGTACATTCGTTAATTTTGCAAATGTGTGGTAGTGGAACATGCAAAATCTAGTAAGATGCATTTCCTTTCTCCTGAGACTGCGTAATTCAGTAGGAGAGACCAAGTCAACAACTATAACAAAAAACAGTGATCTGGATGATCAGTGCCGGATAGGCACACAGTGCTGTGGTTGTAGAATGGAGAGTTACTTCCCCTGGACAAGTGGAGTCAGAGGAGGTTTTCTCAGGAGGGTTGTTAACAACCTGTGGGACTTGCAGGCAGAGAGTGGGAGGGCTTCCGTTGCTGAGGGAGCTATGTTTACTTGGACACATGCTTATTATGTGCTTGTTGTGTATGGCTGATGTTTGGGGGGGTGGCAGTTGATGGCAACATTTGGGGTAGGTCAGATATTCAGGAAATAAATTATGAAGATAAAACGCTTTAGATTCTTTTTGTTAAGTTTTAAATAGAAGAGGGGATCCCTGGATGGCTCAGCAGTTTGGCACCTGCCTTCGGCCTGGGGAGTGATCCTGGAGTCCGGGATCGAGTCCTACATCGGGCTCCCTGCGTGGAGCCTGCTTCTCCCTCTGCCTATGTCTCTGCCTCTCTCTCTCTCTCTCTCTCTCTCTCTCTCTCTCTCTGTCTCTCTGTGTCTCTCATGAATAAATAAATAAAATTTTAAAAACAGTTTTAAATAGAAGAGTGACCCTATAAGACTTGTATTTTAGATAATTTTGACAGGAGCTTGGAGAGCTGGTCAGAGCTGCATGTGTTGATGGCAGGCAGAGAGCACTACACTTGTGTATTTTGGTAATCTAGGTGAGGAATAATGAAGGCCTGAACTAGCTAGCAGTAGTGGAGGAGATTGGGGGGGGGGTGCACAAATTCTAGAGATTTGGGATGTAGAAGCAGTAGGGCCTAGCAACTGCTTGAACATCAGGAATAAAGGGGAAAGAGTAAAGAATGCCTTCCAGTTCTGTCTACTACACCCAATGTAGTAAATGCATGAGCTAGTATCAGATTTTGGATGTGATGAGTTTGTAGTGCCTGGGCAATGCCCAGGTGGAGAAGTCCTGCACATGTAACTGGAGCTCATGAGGGAGACGGGAGGTGGAAATACAGAACTCTGACAGACCTTGGCATGTAATTGGTAATTAAAGTCAGTGATAATCAGAAGTAGATGGGACCAAGGAAGGATATGTAGTAGAGAAGAAAACAGGACCAAGGACTGGGTCACTGACTGATAAGGGATGATTGGAGGATGTGCGTCCTTGAGAGAGACTGAGGAGGAAGGTCAGGAGAAAGGCGGAAAAGCTGAGGGAAGGCACACACAGGAAGAGGATGTGACCAAAAGTGTCAGATATTCCAGAGACTTCAAGTAAGATAAATAGTGAAAAGTGGCCATTGTGAGTAAATGGGAGGCTATTGGTGACACTACTGAAAATAGTTCCAATGGACAGGGAACCTAGAGTTGATTGGGTTGAGAAAATGAAGACAAGTCGGGTTTAAGGCTTAAGCCTCACTGCCTTCTTGAGAAAAAAAGAGAGAAGACAAGACTGGAGACTGTAGCTGAATGGGGTTGTGGGTTCTTGTCCTGGAAGAAATTCGAGCGTTTTTGTATGCTGAAATGAATAAACCATAATGCTTTGGCCTAGGTGGGAAGAATGTTCGCCTTTCCATTGAAATAGGATACAAGTGAGAAAGATGGATGCCAGTGGAGTGAAGATTAAGTGTATGCTCGGGGGGAGGAGGTAGAGCTGGGAGGATCATTACTTGGTCATTTCATACCTCCCTGTAAAGAGAGATAAGTTACTCAAAACCAAGAGTGAGCCATGTGGTTTTTAAGATGAAGAAACTCATTTCATTGCATAGAAACTTGGGTGATTTATAAGTCTTTAAACCCCAGTGGAGGAAAAGTTATATTATACTTAATAATATCACAGACATTCACTTTTATTTAAAGAATCCTGGTAGAAGACAAATTGGAAACTCCATGTGCTGTTTTTTCATCTACCAGAGGGTTTACTCAAATTATATTCCTGTCATTGGCATTTTGGAGCTTGAGGACAATAGAACTGTTACAACATGAATTTTTAGAGCCAATTTTGACCACAGTGAAGTGACTGTGAAGGCTGAAGGTCAAGAGCATGATTGATTGGGTGATTACAATTCCTTTTAAAACAAATTAGAGGTGGCAGGTTTGCCAGGGGCGAAAAGTACTGCAAGGAAATGAATCTCATCAGCATTTAAAACTTCTTGGATCATCAAAAAAGAGTTTAATATTTAAAATATAGACACACACACACACACACACACACACACAGGAATGACTTGCATTAGGAATTCCCACGTGTGATATTTTACGATGTAGAGTCTAGCCTTATTTTTCTGTTAAATCATATATAGGCACTTAATTGGGAATGCTTTTTATTTTTAATTTAGGGTTTGGTACCCTAAATATTAAATACCCTTATCAGTTCAATTCATTTATTTTCTTATTTGTCTTTATATTTGGGGTCTTCTAGATGATTGGATTTGTGATTAATTGTGTGTTTGCAGGGATGCAGGAAGGAAGCAAGGACCAATGTTAGGAAGGGAAGGATAAAGTAAGTGATGAAGAATGGAGAAAGATACGTGGAGGTGTCTTTTGTCTTGGAGGAGGAGGGTGAGATGGTGGTTTTGGAGAACTAATTTTTCTCAGGAAACTATTAAGTGTCAGACACCACGCTGTGCACTTTCATGTATATTACATCCTCACAATAACCTTGGCAAGGTAGATACTCAAGTTATTTGTAGTTTCAAAGGAAAAAATGAAAGGAGGTAAGAAGATACCAGAAAAGAACTTTCTAAAAAAAAAAAAAAAGATTTTATTTATTTATTAGAGAAAGAGAGAGTGTATATGTGAGCATGCGAGTGGGGGGCGGGCAGGGAGAGAATCTCAAGAAGACTACGCTGAGTCAGAGCCCAACTTGGGACTTGATCTCCTGACTCTGCAATCATGACCTGAGCTGAAACCAAGAGTCATTCACTTAACTGACTGAGCCACCCAGGTGTCTCCCAGAAAAGAACTTTTAAAAGTAAAGAAAAATAGCGATGATGGTGCTTGTTATAGTCGAATAATTGCTTCAGTGTAGCTGGTTGTGGTGCTTTTATTATCATATTTTGGAGAGAGAATGTAGAGTCTTTGGCAGAATTAAAAAAGTTAATGTTGGTTATTAAGCTGGTTATATGGGGGCTAGTTGAACTCTCTACTTTTTTATATGCTTGGAAATTTTCGTACTAATAGGCTTTTTTGATCAAGCAAGGAAGTAAAATAGTCTTGGTTGTGGTAAAAAGTAAAAGAATATATATGTAATATAATATATAAATATAAATATATAATATACACACATATATATAAATAGGGAGATTTTCCTTCTTTTTTCTACTATCAGACGTATATAATGGTATTAGCCTTGAGCCCATTTTTGAGGCAAAATTCCTAACCATTTAGGAAATGAAGACAATAAAATCAGTTGTTTTTTTTTTTTTTTCAAATGTGGTCATCTCAGCTTTATGTGTGAATATTGCAGAAATTAGGTGGTTTCTTTCTTTATCTAATTGCAGTGGAAGTTTTGTCCCAAGGAAGGAGCATTTACTCTAGAAGGAAGGCCTGAGCTGGAACTGTCTTGTTGTAGAAGGCATACAGGTCCAAGGGGAAGGATCGGAATCTAGTCAGTCAGCATCTGTTTCTGTAGAACAGGATAGTGGGTACTGGAGGGAGCTACAAAGACAGGAAAATAAGATAGTAGCTATTATTTATGGAGGGCTTCCCCTGTGCTGTGCACTCTATAAACACTTTACGTATATTTAATCCTTACAACATCTCTAGAAGATAGGGTTCTTTCTTTCTTTCTTTCTTTCTTTCTTTCTTTCTTTCTTTCTTTCTTTCTTTCTTTCTTTCTTTCTTTCTTTCTTTCTTCTTTCTTTCTTTCTTTCTTTCTCTCTCTCTTTCTCTCTCTCTCTTTTCTTTCTTCTTTCTTTCTCTCTTTCTTTCTTTCTTTCTTTCTATTTCTTTTTTTTGTGGCAAAATGTACAATACATAAAAATGACTATTGTAACAATTTTTTAAGTGTACAGGTCAGTGGCATTAAGTTTACATTGTGGTGTAAACCATCACTATCATCCATCTTGGAACTTTTTCATCTTCCCAGACGGAAACTCAGCACCTAATATACACTAACTCCCTATCCCTATCATCCCGTGCACCCTGTCCCCAAGCCCCTGGCAACTGCCCTTCTGCTTTTTTGGTCTGTATCGATTTGACTTCCCTAGGGATCTCATATAAGTGGAATCATACAGTGTGTGTCTTTTTGTAACTGGCTCATTTCACTCAAGGTTCATCCATGTTGTAACATGTATCAGAAGTTTTTCCCTTATTAAGGCTGAACTATATTCCATGGTATGAATGTACCATCTTTTGTCCAACTGTATGTCTTTATTTTAATTTTATTTCTAAAAATATTTTATTTACTTGACAGCACAAGCAGGAGGAGGGACAGAAGGAGAAAGGGAAGCAGACTCCCCACAGTGCAGGGAACCCAATGTGGGGCTCTATCCCAGTATCCTGAGATCATGACCTGAGCTGAAGACAGACACTTAACCGACCGAGCACCCAGCGCCCCTGTCCAACTATATGTTGATGTACTCTTGGGTAGCTTCCCCCTTTGGCTATTCTAAATAGGCTGCTTTGAACATGTGCATAAAACATGTTGAGATCTGGCTTTCGGTTCTTTTGCGTATATATTCAGAAGTATAATTGCTGGGTTCATATGGTAATTCTATGTTTAATATTTGTAGGAACTGCCATACTGTTTTCTATAGCGGTGTCATCAGTTAGAGTTGTGTCAGCAGTGCACCAGAGTTCCAATTTCTCCAGATCGAAGGTAGGTACTATTCGTATTTTAGTATCATAGAGGAGGAAGAGAGGTGCAGAGAGGTGAAATGGGCTCACACAGCTAACATACACAGATCTGAATTTGAACCCTACAGTCCAATGCAGAACCTTTGATAACCACGTAAGATGAGGCCCAGAAAGGATCAGAGACATGATTAAGGGTACTATGCCTAATACATTATCAGAGCCTTGATTCAGACCAGGCACCTTGCCTTCAGAGTACATACTGTTAAGCATTCTTAGGTTTAGTGGTTTCTCTTTGTTCTTCGTTTTTATCCACCCCCCAAAAAAAAACCTTTAAAAAAATCCCACATTTTGTAGAAAGATATTAATTTTTAGATATCTCTATATGGTTTTTTCCTGCCATTCTAAATTTATGCTTTAAACTGTTATTTAAAATATTATCTTAAGAAATGTATGCAATATGTTCAATTTTCTCTTTATTCAGGTTTCTTGGGTAAAATTTGCCTTTAAGTGTTTTGAAATAGTATGAATTGACTGGTAGAGTTTTTTATACATCTCCACTCTACCTACTCCTGCCAGAAGTTTGATTTCAAATAAAACCAAGCAAAATTCTCTCAAGCTGGATTTAAATTGGGGGAAACTTGGAGGGTAGCAATGGTAAACGTTGAGGACTTTTTTTTTTTTTTTTTTTTTTGGAGAGTGTAAAGTTTCCAGGTTTACTGACAGAGGAGCAACAGCTAGGAAATGTACTTATTTTTTTCATCCTTCTGTGTGTTTTGCTAGGAGGGTGTGCATTCCCCCTCAGCGCGGTCACCAGGGGACTTTGTGGCCTTCTGAAAATAGTGCCATTCCTCCGTGATGCTGGCTTCGCTTGGCCAGTGTGTCAGTTCATGTGCCCTGTCTGCAGAGCCTCCCCTACCACTGCCAGTGAGGGGCCCTGTGATAATACAGACCTAGATGCCTCTTTAAATCCTGCTCATGCAGGCAGGGCCTCTGAGTGGGTGACTTCTGTGCTCTTTAAGGCCGGGGTGCTGCGTGTGCATGGCCTTGAGTGCCCCCCCCCCCCCCCCGCGGTGAGGGTGACAGCTTGTACAGCACACCATTCATTAGCTGGGTAATGAATGTATGAATGAATGAATGTAGCTGGGTGTTCATTTCAGACAAAGACTCCTGGACCCATGGTATCAAGGGCCCACAATCAGCTAAGATGAATTTTCTGATCCGGAAGATATCTTTAAGATAATCTGATTCAGTGGCTCCCAGCCTTGGTGTACTCTATGCTCTACCTAGCGAGCTTGAAAACATAATGATGCCTGAGGCCAACCTTCAGAGATCCTGATGTAACTGGTCTGATGGGTGCCCTGGCCATTGGGATTTGTGAAAAGCTTCACAGATAATTCTAGTGTATGGTCAAGGTATAGGATTGTTGCTCTAGTTTCTCTTGACTACCTGTTTTTTTTGGCTCTAAGATTTTTACCACCACAGAAGATACAGGAGGTCTTTTCTCTGGTTGTCCTTCTCAGCAGGGATTGCTGGAATATATTTCTCACATACAAGGGGAATCTCTTCTATTTTGTTTATCTGTGGTTTGAAAATTATTTTTATATCCTTATGGAGTATGTCTTTATATTCGCACAATTTAGTGCCGGTTGCTATAGAGGACAGATCTTATTGACTCTGCAGAGCCTTGAGTTTAGGAATATAGAGGAAAGACAACTGTTTGTTCTCTAAGATTTCAATGCAAGCTCCAAGTCACTGAGTTCTGATGGCAGTTTCATTTTATAAAGTGAAGACTGTGATGACATTGGAGCTGATATTTTTGCAGTTCTGGAAGGCTTCTCGCTACATGTAGCATCTGCCCTCCTGTGCGTTTAAACACTCAGCCATATCATTACTTTGGGAAGTCTGTGTCTTTGAGTAAACCACATAGTCAGTTGGAGAGCATCTGATTTAGAGGAATGCTGTGTCCTAGCCCCTCCCAGGCTGTTTGAGTTTGTTTAAAAGGGCAGTGATGGACCTGGCAGTGATGAACCTGGCATCATCTTTCCTGTGTTGGACTGTGGCTTTAAGATTATTTGGTTGAAACTTCATCAAAGTTCATAGATGAGAGTTGGGGTTTGAGGGAGCAAGTATTCTTGTTTGATTTGGTTTTAAAAATGAGTATTTAGATGTAAAAATTTCTAACTTTGTCATTGTTTGTATTCTGTGTATTTATGAGAGCTCTGTCAGCAGTTGAAACAGAAAGGCTCCATGGTGGCTTTCTTGCTGTGTATCTCTTAGAGACCCCAGTTTAGGATAGACAGTGTTTGAGTTACACTAGTAGTTAAGGACAAGGACTTCTGGACCCACTCCAAAACCTTTCTGATATGGGCAGAGCAGAGCAATTTGTACATGTATATGTGTATGTACTTATGAATATACATAGTAGAAGCCTAAATTATGTTACATTTATTCATAATCATACATAGCTGCTAATACAGAGTGGTACAGAGGAAATTCTTGTAGGATCATCTGCTACTCATCTTCCTCAGTTTTTTCAAAGAGAGGCCCTTTTGGATTTGATCTGGTATTCACATTTAGGTAATTTTATAATAGTTGTAGGGCTTGGATTGGGGAGGTGCCTCTCTTCTCACATTTGTGTGGATTTCTCCTTGTAGTTAGTTACCATGGTAACAGGTGTGTGTAAAGGTGGACTGAGGGCACTGATGGATGAGGGGGACCAATTGCTTAGATCAAAAGCAAGGGCATCTGGTCATTTCCAACGTCTTTGAAAATGAAAGCTGTGCTTCCCTGGAAGGACTTGATGGGGTTCTTAGATCACTTGGAATGGTTTTTCTGCTCTGTAGTCTTATTTGTTGACCCTATCACCTTCCCACTAATTATTCCTTGGTTGTTGACTTCCAGGGGATGATTAGTTACACATGTCACTCAAAAAATGGTCAAGGGTTATAACAATGGGGGACTTAATTTTCTGTTTCCTCAACTTCATTTTTAACATGCTGAATGTTTGAAATGAAAAGGCAGCACAGTACCAGCAAATTCTCTTTGAAAACATAGCTGGTTGTTTGTGGAGGATATTCTACTGGCCCCTCCTAGCTCCAGCCCAGCCCACTGCCACGCCTGGGTCTTTCAAAGCTGGTATCATTTCTGAGAGCAACAGTTTAGAATTGGTTCCCTTCCATTCATAATAGTATGTGGCATCTTCATATAGGAAGTGTAGAATCAAATATTATGTTATGGTGGGATAGGGAGGAGCCACTAATATAACAGTAAAACAGTTGTGTGTGCGTGTTTTTTTTTATAGTAAAACTATAAATAGTATTCCAATTTTATGGAAGAATGGGATAACTTGCACAAAAGTGAAGATAGCATCAGATAATTACAGTGAGCCTCTTCCTCTATGTTAGGCTGTCTCATTTGAAAAATGAAGATGAGTAAGACAGAGTCTCTCCACTGTAAGAACTTCTCAAGAAGTTCTTTGTGCCATTTATCTTCTCAGTGATACACTCTTCCATAGTTACCAATCACATTGCTCCCCCTTCTTGTTCACTTACAGATGCCCAGAGTGACAGTTTTCTCACTTGGCACCCTTCCTATTTGCAAGGCAGGGCTCTCTTCTCATTGTGGCACCTGCTACTCCCAAGTGTGGTCCTGGCATAGTAGTTTCAGGTCCCTCTCCCCACTTAGATCTGTGTTATAACAAGAACCCCTGGTGACTTGGGTGTGCAAAATATGTTAATATGCATGTCCCATTTCAGTCAGGCTAAGGCGGGCCCGAGAATCTGCATTTCTGATCAGCTTCCACATGATGCTAATTCTGGTCTGTGGACCTCACTGGGGATAGCAAAGATTTGCTTTCGAAAGCCTACTTAAATCTCCCCTAGTGCATAAGAGGAACAAAGATGTTTGGCTTGTTCTGCTAATATGGAATAGCATATGTAGCTAGCTAAAGACCTCTGGCTTAAATACTCTCATGGGGAGTCAAAGTTGAAAAAGTACCTGTCTACTAGGTGCTAGACATAGCTTTCAGAGTTTTATTAATATACTTGATCCTCACAGCAGGTTTAGGGGTAGGCACTGTTACACCTCTATTTTGTAGATGGGGAAATTGAGACCCAGAGGGGTTAAGTAGCTTGACCACAGTCACGTTAACTATCAAGTGAAAGAACAGGGCTTTGAATGCAGGCACTTTGGCCTCAGTACCTCAAGTTTGAAAGGATTGCTATGTACTTCCTGTGTCTAAGATGTTACATATGTGAGGAAGTGGAGTGAGATCATGGCTGAGAAATGAGAATGTCTCAGTTTGGATAGTAGGGTGGTTCCAGAAGGCAAGCTGAGTACAGATTTGTGATTGGGATATGGAGGGTTTAGCCGTAGAGGGTGGGTCATGCTGTTCATGTTTACTGGACAGGATTAGTGGGGGGAGGTGAGACAGGCATGATTTTAGCAGTTGAGGAACAAAAGGGCATGTAGGCAAACTTTTATTTTAGCATCCCAGTATATCAGATACTGTGGTTTATGTTCATTCATTCTTTTTTAAAAAGATTTTATTTATTCAATTGAGAGAGAGAGTGTGTGCAAGTTGGGGGAGGGGGAGAGGGAGAAGCAGACGATGCATGGAGTGCATAACCTAATGCAGGGCATGATCCCTATACCCCGAGATCTTGGCCTGAGCTGAAGGCAGGTGCTGACTAACTGAGCTACCCAGACACCCCTACATTCATTATTTCTTTTGAACTTTGTAATCTTATGGCGTAGGTATAGATTTTAAAGATAAGAGAACTGAGGTTTGGAGAGATTTAAGTAATTTTCCCAAGGTTGACAGAGGAGGGTGACATAATATGAATTTTTTTTAAAGTTTTTTTTTTAAAGATTTTATTTATTTATTCACTCATGAGAGACACAGAGAAAGAGAGTGAGAGGGAGAGATACAGGCAGAGGGAGAAGCAGGCTCCATGAAGGAGGCCGATGTAGGACTTGATCCCGGGTCTCCAGGATCATACCCCGGGCTGAAGGCGGCACTAA